ACATTTTTGCAATTGAAGTTCGATCGGAATGGAGGATCCAACATGGAATACAGAATTTTGAAGAATAAAATTGTTGTTGAGATTGTTTCTGAATTCGTTTCTTCTGCAATAATCGGAGCCAATTCATACAAAATATTCCTCAAATTGGATCGATAGAGTTGGAACTTCTCAATTGGGGTTTTATCGACACGGACCGTTCATCACTTGCCTTTTTTGTGGTCCTCATGAAGAATCAAAACCAAACATTTATATAACGAAATGGAATTGGAAAGATTCCAATTCGTCCACTGGGAAGATTTTTTTGATTCACCATAAATTGTTGAATTGTGTCCCAAAATCAAATCGTTATTTATGTAGGACACGCGCTTAGCGTACCGGCCTGAAGATTTTGCCGTCTGGTGCTCTGAAAAGACCTATGATATAACGGGCACTGTCTATTTTTTTTTTTTTTTTTTTTTTTTTTTTTTTATCGCTTGGAGCGCACGAGAGGGAATCCCTATAATGTTCAAAGAACATCGTGCGTTCCTAGGGAGGATAGGGATAGGAGGTAGGTATTGGAATTTTTTTTGAACTTCTGGAGATTATATGTTGTTGGGAATACTTCCACAGGCAATGAATTCCAGAGCCCAGCCGTTCTATGGATGAAGGAGTTTTGATAAAGTGCTGTTCGGCATCTTTCGAGGTTGACAACGAAGGGATGTGCTGACTGGGCTTGTCTAGTTCGTCTGACTGGTATTGCTAGTGAAGGGATGATAGCAGAGATTTCCGAAGAACATTTCCCGTGGAAGTATCGATAGAAAAGTGAAAGGTCGCCGACCTTTCTACGGTGTTCCAATGATGTCAAAGAGCGAGTGAGTGTGGCGTCACCCACCAGGCGGATGGCTCTTCTCTGGATGGAATCTAAGAGCATCAGCGTATGTTTCGGTGCTGAACCCCATATGTGGGAACAGTATTCTAGAACAGGCCGTATCTGCGCTTTGTAGATCATGAGAAGCTGTTGAGGTATAAAGTAGCATTTCGCACGGAACAAGAATCCGAGTTTTTGTGAAGCAGCTTTTGCGATGGATCTGACATGATTATCCCATGAAAGAGTGTTGCTGATGGAAATACCGAGCATAGATATGGTGGGCTTGGTGGGGATGGTGGTGCCAGACATTACAATGTCGGGCATACTGAGATCCGCCTTTCTAGAGAAAATACAGGCTTGAGTTTTGGTAGCGTTGAATTCAACTAGGTTGTTGGTTCCCCAGGCTGTGATTTCGGCAAGGTCTTCATTGACAGCATTGACCTGCCTGCGCCGTGTGTTCTTAGTTTCCTGGGAAGAAATAGGAATTCTGGAAGAGAACGCTGTATGTAGGGTACTATCATCTGCAAAGCTGTGGATGGGGCAAGTTGTTACTCCCAACAGATCATTGATATGAAGAAGGAATAATGTTGGTGCCAAAATTGATCCTTGTGGAACGCCGGAATTGATGCCAATTGTATCAGACGATACACCGTCCACCACCACATGAAGCGATCTGCCTGAAAGAAAACTCGATAAGAGATGGCATAGCTGAGGTGGTAAGCCGTATGATGGTAGTTTGTGGAGAAGTCCTTCGTGCCAAACACGGTCGAATGCTTTCGATATGTCCAAAGCGACAGCTAGAGATTCCCCGTGTTTTTCTAATGAAGCTTGCCATAAATGGGTGACGTAGGCAAGTAGATCTCCAGTAGATCTTCGGTGGCGAAAGCCGTATTGTCTATCATTGATGATTCCCGAGCTCTCCAGATATTTGATGAGCTCAATGTTGATGGCTTTCTCCATAACTTTGGAGATTACTGATAACAGGGCGATGGGCCTGTAGTTGTTGGGCAGGTTCTTGTTCCCTTTTTTGGGGATTGGTTGGACTCTAGCTGTCTTCCAGCATGATGGAAAAATACCCGACCTGTACGAGACGGTAAACAACTTGCAGAGAATCGGTGTTAATTCTGGTGCACATTTTTTGAGGATAATGGGTGGAATTCCATCAGGACCGTTAGCCTTATTCGTTTTGAGACCAAGCAAAATTCGTCTGATAGTGCGTTGACGGAAGACGATTTCGGGCATTCGACTCTCAACGGGTGGAATGTCTGGCGGCACTTTTCCTTGGGAATCTAATGTAGAGTTTGCTGCAAAAATCTCTGCAAAAATATTTGCTTTCTCCTGCGATGTTGTTGCTAATGTGCCATCGGATTTGGACAGTGGTGGAAATGAACTATTAGTGAAATTTCTTCCGACCGCTTTAGCGAGGGACCAAAACGAACGGGAGCCATTGGGACAATCTATGAGTTTCGATCTTATCTTGGCATTGTATGTTTCTTTCGAAGCATCTATTGTTTGGCTGCAGTTATTTCTGGCATCAACGTATTCTGCTCTAGTCGCGAGGTTAGGGTTTTTGCGCCAGCGATGGTAGGCTGTTTGTTTCAAGGCAACAGTTCTAGAACAGTTTTTGTTGAACCAGGGTTTCGATGGTGATGATCTTTTTGAAGAATGGGGTATGTATGTGTCCATTCCGAGCATGATGATCTCGGATATTTCCGCAGCACACTGTGAAGGGTCCTCAGAGTCAAAGCATACTCTATGCCAAGGAAACTCGGAGAAGAACATGCGGAGACCGTCCCAATCTCCTGAATTGTAATGCCATATACGACGTGGGGGTGCCGAATCAGTTGATGGAATGAAAAATGGGCAGGTTGTGGAGATGAGTGTGTGGTCAGAATTGCCAAGTGGAGCTCGTACATCTATGGTGTAGGGTTCTGAATTATTAGTGAGGAATAAGTCAAGTATGTTAGCTGAATGGTTATTGGCATCGGGAATTCGTGTGGGTTCTTTGATAAGCTGCTCTAAGCCGTGAGTGATGGCGAAAGCTTCGGCTTGTCGCCCAGCTTCATCCGTTCTGTTAGAGTGTACGAGCCAAGCAGTGTTGTGTACATTGAAATCGCCCATGATGATGATTTCTGCTGCTGGATGGTTCTGTTGAATTTGGTCAAGCTTCAGAGACAAGAATTCGAAGAGCTCTTCATAGGATGGATCATTTGGTGATAAGTAGAGACAACAAAGGTATTTGGTCTGTTTCTGGCTATCGAGCTTGAACCACATGACATCAAACTTATTTGGTTCCAAAGTTTTTTCTCGTTGACATGAGAGATTCGTTTTAGAGTAGAGGCAGAGACCTCCCTTGAATCTGAAACGTGTGTGGAGTTCGTACCCAGGACAGAGCAGATAGGTCGTATTGGTGGATGAATTGACCTGTGTCTCAGTAAGAGCCAATATGTCTGGCTTTTCAATTTGAAGGTGTCGATGGACTTCGTTGATGTTCTTACTTAGACCTCGGATGTTACATAGGTCTATCTTGAGGACTTTTTCAGTCGATGGTGAACCCCCTCTAGCACCTCTCGCCCGGAAATCCGAATGGAGAGGTATTTTACTTCCGGATAATTTTACTTGAGGAGAACTCATCATCGCTTATTCTGTATAGAGAAGGGAGGTTGGCGTGGAAGGATATAGATTGTTCAGTCTAAGAATTAGTTCAGAAGGGAGCTTCATTTTCAAAACCACTTATAATATCTAGAAGAATTAGCCAATAATCGAATGGTAGTTACTCATTAAATGGAATTGGATCTCCTGGAATATACAGTGTGTCCCACTTACCATGCTCACCATAGGTATCTTTTTAACGGTGAGAGATACGAAGTCGGTTAAATGACACCAAACGTGTAGTTGGTCAAGGCCAACTATAATGTGAAAAAATATTATGATAAAATCTATTCGTTTTTGTTTTATATGCAAAAAACAGATTTTGATCATTTTCATGTCTCCTCCGTAACTTCTTTATTTATGAAAATATTCAAATAGGAATTTCACATTCTCATGGCAGTTCTTCAGAGTGATTTCTAAAAAAATATGAAATTTATACCAACTCTTCTAGAATTTGAGATATCAGCACCAACTTTAGTTTTTCAAATGTAGGTCATAGCTCACTATGACTTAGTTACAAATATCTTTTTTTTTTCTCTTACAGAGGATATGTCGCAGTAATAGTTCTGTGTTGATAACAACGGAGTTATCGTCATTTATACAAAATCAAGCAATTATTGGAAGCTGCCATCTTGAATTTATTAATTTTAACAAAAAAATCATGATCTCCGACCTCAAAAACCCCCACTTGACAATTTTGAAAGGAATCGGACCAAATCTTGTCCGCCATCTTGGAGCAGCCATTTTTTTCAATTTCAACAAACATTTCATAATGTATTGTCACCAACATTATAAACACCTGCCAAATTTCAAGTTAATCGGAGTTATGGAATTTTTGTTGAAATTGAAAAAATGGCTGCTCCAAGATGGCGGACAAGATTTGGTCCGGTTCCATTCAATATTGGTAAGTGGGGATTTTTGAGGTCGGAGATCATGATTTTTTTGTCAAAATTTATAAATTCCAGATGGCGGCTTCCAAATAATTTTTTGTTTTTGTATAAATGACGATAACTCCGTTGTTATCAACACAAAACTATTACTGCGACATATCATCTGTAAGAGAAGAAAAAATCATTTATAACTAAGTCATAATGAGCTATGACCTACATTTGAAAAACTAAAGTTGGTGCTGATATCTCAAATTCTAGAAGAATTGGTTTGAATTTCATATTTTTCTCGAAATCACTTTAAAAAACTGCCATGAGAATGTGAAATTTTTATTAGAATATTCTCATAAATGAAGAAGTTACGGAGGAGACATGAAAATGATCAAAATCTGTTTTTTGCGTTTAAAACAAAAACGAAGAGATTTTATCGAAATATTTTTTCACATGATAGTTGGCCTTGACAAACTCCACAATTGGTGTCATTTAACCGACCTCGTATCTCTCACCGTTAAAAAGATATCCATGGTGAGCATGGTAAGTGGGACACTGTATTGACGAATAGATCTTTATGTTGTATTGATATACGTCGACAGCAATTTTTTCTTTTTTTTTAGGGTGATGTTTCTACAGAAGATGGTTTTTCTTGCTGTCAAAGGATCTATTATCTACTTCATCCTATTGAGGTTATTCTCAGCTTCGATCACCTCTCAAGTTAATGGAATTACGGATATCTAGTTCATTTACAAAAATGGATGTCCATGAATAAGCAGCTTCAGAATATCATAATGAATATAAATTAAGAATTAATTTAGAATTTGTGGTCAAGTTTATTAATGTCCTCTATATAGATTATAAAAAGATATCATATTTCGATAAGGTTAGGTGGAATACGACCTGCGAACTCGAGAACATTCCTCATAGCAATAGTTCACTTCCGTTAAGAAATCAAATCGACCGACTCATTCGAAAAATCCACCCCTGTGGTATTATTCAAGAGAAGACGACAAGCTTTCGAATGATCATAATCAATGAATCCATCGCGGATGAAATAAGAATAAAATGATCACCGTTTCTTGCTCATTTAGTTTACTAATGTTTAGACTGGCTTACTAATAATACGTTAGTATGAATCATGGAAAGCTAATCATCATGACGTTTTTATAATGAGACCGTTATAACTTGATAACCTGTTGGTGAGTTGGCAACAAGTCTTTTTGTAATAAGTATTATAGACGTCTTCTCATTAGTTGTATTTGTACCACAGAGGCTGGAGGGCGGAGCAAAGTGCTCAATAAACGAGTATCTAGAAAAGTATAATCAACGAATTTATATTTTGGAACAGCATATTCATTTTTTTGGTATATAAACTGATGATTACTGACAATTCGATGCATATTAACATTCTGGCAGTTACCATATTATATCGACCTATTTTTCCCAAAGTGATTGTTATCTACATTTCCATCACTGGCTTCATTCATAATATTATTCCTATTAAGATCACGATTATTTTGTTTCTATTATCACACGGTTGACGTGGTTTGTGATTCTGGTGTAAACCTTCAGTAGTTATTGAAGTATCTATACAGGGTATGTCACGACGACCTTACACCATCTCTATATCGAAAATCAGTCTGGAGAAATAGATGGAAATATGCTTGCTCATATTTTGCAAAACGCTCTCTTCATTTTAAATAATTTGAGCAATTCAGTGTGGCTGCTTTTATCGAAAAGTAGCAAAAACTTTGTTATTTCATACAAAATACCCTGTATTTCGTTGCATTTCCAGATTATCCCTGGAGAGCTGATTTCACAGATGCATAAAACTTGGGGTCTATCAGTGGAGATTACAGAGATATATGGTGTTCTAACTCAAACTTCAGGATTCATATGTTCCGAAACTATTATATTACTATTATTATCGGCCAAAACGGCTCAATACAGGGTAATCGAAATCATGAATCTTGAACTACCCTGTATCTGTTCTGATTGAATTTCAGGACACACTGGATCGAGGGTCAAGATTTCGACACAAAAAATCCTAGAGTTGAAAAATCTCGATTTTGAACACCCTATATCTCTGTAATCTTTTTCGATGGACCTTAAGTGTGATGCATCGATAAAATCAGCTCTCCAGGGAGAATCTGAGAATGCGGTGTAATACAGGGTATTCCCTTCGAAATATCAATGTGCTACCATTTTATAGTAGGAGCGGCAATACTGCATTATCGAAAATATTTCAAATCATAAGAACATTCTCTGGAATATGAGCATGCACATTTTCATAGACTTCTCCCAACTGATTCTTGATATGGAGATAGTGTGAGCTCGTCGTGACATACCCTGTATAACCTTCAGCAACAGAAGTGGATTGCCATCGCTAATCTCAAGTAACAAGAATATATCCTCAATCATGCTATGAAACGTGATGTGATACAACAGATTTGTTTCTAGAACATGATGTAGTGCTTTATATGACATTTTCCAGAGCGTTCAGGTCGGCAGCTCACTTGATATTCAGCCGTCATTTCCAAAGCCAAAATAGACCAAGGTTTATACAGCTTCATAGCTTTTATATTAAGTATTTTTGTTTTGATCGGAAAACATTCAAGATTCACATACTTGCTCGATCTGTATTTCATTCGATATTCTCGGCATGGATAGCTTGATTTTGAATAATCACGTCAAGCAATAGTTTTTTGTCTCAAACAACGATATTGTTTTACCTCCATTTGACTATCAAGTCAAACACAGTGTAGTTTGGAGAGGTATGAATTATCGCTATTATTATTGTTGATATGCTCACCAACCTTACATTTTTTACGTATCGTTCCTATACCTGGCACTGGCGCGGTATTTGCCATTAGAGCTCCTGGTCCATAAACAAATATGTGGCTTCGCTAAATGCTCCGCCTCGCAAATGCAAAATTCGCTTGTCAAACAAAGTGTCACTTTTGGTCCTAGTGAAACAATCTTCTATTTTGTATTAGGGAGGGAGATATCGTACCAGCAATGATCATTTCTAATAGCAGTTGCAAAAACTCATTCCATGTGTGCAGGGTACACTTTCGAGCTGTGCCAGCAGCGAGTCTAGAAGAAGCGCTAACCCGGGGGACGATAAATCTTAAGGGTAGAATTTTAATAAAACCAACGTCGCGACGGGTGCGTTGAGATAGCGCTTGCGTTGCGACGTCGAAGCGGTTCGAGCGCCTGGACGCCAACCAGTCTGTCTGAGGACGTCAAGGACGCGAGTGTGTGTGCATTTCCGTGTTTCTTGCACTCATCAATGAAGAACTGTCATTCCAGACAGCGGAAGTAGTGGATTCTGACAGGCACCAGTTTGAGGGACATTTCGGGTAATTTGCAGATGCCTAATCGATGTTGTTCGTATGGTGGTGTCGTTTATCGCAAAAATGTTTCGTGCGGACATCATCAGAGTGATTTAACAACATAATCTCGAGTAAGTCGGAAATCGTATTGTCCTCATAATTGCAAAGTAATCAACTTCACATGTATGCATTGTCTCTCTGAGGACAATGAAGTGAAACAACAAAAACAACGAAACACGAAATTGTTTCGTTCACTGATTACGAGAGAAAATGATGCAATGAAACTTCATTTTTCATAAACATCATCATAAAAACATTGGAGAATTTCTGAAATGTATAAGAATTCGGGAATTGCCATTGTGAAATCTCAGAATTTTTGGTTTGACTGCCTACAATATCGCATATCATCGACATACTACCCAGACGGAAATAATAACACGCGAGTAACTTCATTGAGTACTTTCAACATAGAAGTGTTGTTGCTTGTTGTTGTATGTATTTTTCATCGCTATTTGATTGGATGTCTCGATTTTGGTACATTTATTTGATTTCATGAGTTCATATCATTCATTATATTACATATCATCAGACCAAATAAAGGACACTTCCAGTTTAACCAGGAGTCCATGCAAGTTCCCTATTTCAAATACAACATATTTGTTATTTCTAGAAATGAAGACAAAGTTTGGAATAACCTCACAATAGGGTACAGTACCAATAAATGCCGCACTTTCTGTGGAAAAAATGAGAGATATCGAGTAACAAAAAATATGCATTCCATAAACCATACGATCATCCTATCAAGTATCTACTACTCACCAAAATATCAAATTGGTCCCCGAACAACATTAGAACCTTCTACCACACAATATAACAAGATAATGGAATTGTGTTTTCTGGCAAATCTCCCCCCATCAAGTATGTACAGAGATGGTACAGAGAGATGCCTACAGTCATGCGGAGAGATGCCCAATGTTGATTCCCATATGAAAGAGATGTCGCTATTATTTGTTCTAGTTCACCACGTTTGCATGGGTTGCAAGTGTCCATTCTACTGTTTTGGAGGTTTTACTGTAATTCTCAGAAAATTTCACGCAAAAATATTCTTGCGAAGTAACTTGCTTGGCTAATTCAGGATTTGTGGTTTCTTCAAATCGAATAAGAGAATCTTTGCTTTCGGAAGTATGATTTGTCCTTTTTTTCTGTACTTTTTGTTTTTTTCCCCATCGCTTTCATTGACACTTTATATTTATTTCAATTCTCTATTCTTGGTATAGTAGTTTTTGCTGTTCTTTGTTTCTCTTCTGGAATGTTCTCAGGACAAGTAAGCTTTGTAGCCCACTGCTTCTGTTTGTTGAATGATGATGGAATGTTCAGAATTGGCTATTTTTCTGTTGAGTATTATTTATTCCCTCAACTGGGGTTTTCCGAAGTTTCAACAGGGAGAAACTTCAAATTTCTGTTTACATTCAGTTTCAAATAAAGATAACCTATCTGCTAGAGTATATATACTCACTTATTGAACTTCTCATCGTCATAGTTTTTTCTGATATTGATTTCTATGGGTCTAAATGTAGTATAAGGACTGCAGAAAAATAGGCAGCGAAATATTTACTTCGATAATTATTCATTGAACAATCATATGAGTATGTTGTAGTGTAACCCTGCGAATGTGGAATATAGTAATTTTTGATTATAGCATGCGAACTGTAAGTAGTCAGCTCATATAGTCAAGGCAAATAGGAGGAAGATTCACCAGATAACTTTCCATTCGGAAGTCATGTGAAGAAAATTGAGATCAACAAACCTTATTTTTCAGCCACTTCAGGATAGGAACACGTCATATCAAACAAATGAAATTTATATTCATCTATACTTACTCAAGAGGGTACTCGAGAGGGTATCAATTCTTCATAAATATGAGCGATTATATTATACAAACAAGGTGGGTTGAATACATGTTTCCCTATCATTGGAATGTGAGACCATGATCACCAATTTGTTGATGATTCAACTGAATGGAATATTCTTCATATAAAACTCTTTAGACCTTCACAGATATTGAAATAAAGAATCATGATGACTTTTAACTGTACTAGATTTCAAATTGTACTATATTCAGAATTGGAAAAAAAAGGTGTAAATTGATGTTTCAATGATCAGTGGATTCCTTTTGATATGCAGAAAATGATTCATGTAAGCAAGAATGTGACACGAGCATCAAATTGGCGATAGTTCGAACCTTATAGATGTTGTCTGCTGCCATATTACATCATGGGCAATTCCATAATCATTTTGTGTCCTCATACGGTATACAAGTCTTAGGAGATGTCGTCATCAATATGTATGCTAAGGCCAATAAGTTTCTTGAATTAATGACCTTGAGTTGGACTACATCATCATTCTTAAAATATCCAGTGATATCAACAGGAACAGAGAATTGGCTAATAGTCAGGACAACCTTTCTTTGGAGACTAGTTACTAAAATCATCAACACATGCTTACTCTTTCAAGTTCAAAAAAGCATGAGGCAAAATAGTTACTAACGGAATATACACGATATATATAATTATATGTATATATACATTCGTCGAACTTCCTCAATAACTTCAGTTTCATGACATGGTTCTCTCTTTTCATTGTCCATTTCTTGGAAGGTTATGCTCATTGCTGTTGAAGCTTGAGTACATCATGCATTACATCTTAGTACTAGTAACCTAAAATTCATCCTTGAGCAGATGCGAGGAAGAAGAAGATAACCTCAAAATTGACCAACGTGATATAAGCGTTGACAAGATTCTCAAATTCCTAATTTGTGATGAAATTATTTTTGATTGATATAAAAACTCATATAATAACCGTCTTTCGTCTTTTACGAGAATTTAAAATGTTTCGTCACACTTTCAAGTCTCAAACGAACTGTCATGAGTTCCCCACCAGCAAGCTAGTTCTATATATACACACATATATATATAAGATGAGATAAGATAAGACAATAACACAACTATGTCCCATAGATACCCTTGGAACGTCCTGTCGGGACATTCAGGACGTCCATAGGATGTTCGAATTTGGTACCGTGGACGCCCATTGGACGTCTGTGGGACGCACAAATGTCTCACTTAAGGACCAAGCAGGGACGTCCTTGAGGGATGTGTCTGGGTCAACTATCGAATACCTAAATCCTACAGTATTTGTCATCAGGTACTACAGAGGACATTCTTCGGACATCCATGCGACAACCTATCAGCAACGCTGAGGGATATCAATTGGATGTCCATAGGATGTCCCAGGGACGTACGAATCATTCTCGAAATTGAATTTTTCTGGTTCCCTCTAGGAACAGATCTTGCACAACTGATTAGGACATCCAGTTGAGTTGATGGTCCGTAGAAGGTCCCGAAAGAGTTCCCAAAGGATGTCCGATGGACTTACGTGGAGGACATTAACGAAGAGTACTCATAGCCTATGGGCAATCATACGTCGGTGAGGTGTAAGTTGACATCCTCGCAGGAACAACACTCTTTCGAAGGATGTCCCTAAGAGACATTTCGATTGTTATACGATCCTGGAAATATTGAGGGCGTCTGTGCAGAGATATTTGAAGGAATGTACCATCAGGGACATTTCATGGTTGTCTAGAAGGAACATTATATGAGATCTGAATTCATGCCAGAATATGTACTATTCGAGACATCCGATGGATGTCCCTAAAGGAACGTTCAAAATCATATCCCATCAGGAACAGGCCAAGGACGTCCTTGCATTGATATTCTACAATATGTTCCACGTGGGACGTCTAAGGGATGCTATTTCTAGGACATTTGAAATAATGTACCAGCTGGGACATTTCGTGGACGTCCTTGCTCGAACATTGCATGAGATGTACGGGATGGGACATCCCCAGGACACTTATTTTTGGTTCGGGACATTCGGACATGAATGGTACCAAAAAGGGATGTCCCTTGGAAGTTGTGTGCTATAAGGGTCAGGAGAGGTTTGTTCGAAAGTACTCGGTACAACCGTGTTTCTAGCGACCTCTATAAAAGTCAGATATAAATTCAAATTCATGCGATGTGTCATGGTACAAAACACATTCAAATTGAAATGTCATCATATTGTTGCCAGTAGCTTCGACATAATTGTGAAAAAAAATGCCGTACGAATTTTTTTCATTGAGCACATCCAACTCAATTTGTATCAGTGTTCTACTTTTATTCGAGCAATGGGGCCACCTTCCTCAGAAACACCTTGTATATCAAAAGGCTCTTGTTTCTCACTATTTCGTGAAAGAATGATCTATATTCCGAATATGATGAATGCGTCTGATGAGAATGATCAAAATTCGAGAACCGATGAAATACTCTATATCAGAGAACAGCACGATGAACGAAGTGGTATTTTCTGAGTCATTCGAAGTCGTTTATCGTAATCTGGTGGGCAGAAAGTATACCAAATGACTTGGAATTGGCGAAACGTAATTATTTCATTACTCCTGCCCCAACCGGAAGCAACCTCAACTTTCGATTTTTAGATAGTACCCCCTGTAGCTATATCTTGATATATCATTTCATTCAATCCGAAAATTGAGGAAGTTCAGTGTGTGCTATTTGAGATCATAGGTTGGGGTTACTCGTTGTTCAACCGGAAGGTATGGAACAAACTCTTTCTCTTCAATGAATGAGTGATTTGATATACTTGCTACCCACTCAATTTCATGATGATTTTTTGAAATTATTCCATTTGACTTTTATTCTCATTTTCAAATCCAATTGAAACAAACAGAGTGATTCATAGGAGGAATGAAGTCATAGGTATCATTGAATAGCAACCCCAGCGAACTTACTAAATACAAACCCTACACACACAAAAAAAAATGGTACAAACTCTTAGAAATCGATGTAAATCCTAATAGGACTAAGATTTTAACGAAGTGAAATGAACTTGTTGAAATCGTTGAAAGGACCCAACTGTCTGCAAGTAGGCGTCGTAGTGAAACCTAATGCTGAGAGTTGAAATCAATCAACACGGCATCGTAGTTAAATTCATCACGAATCTATTTAGTGAAACGCCATAAAAAAGAGTATTCAATACTATGATCCACTAGTAAATCTGATTTTGTGATTTACGCCAATCAAGCTGTCGCATGAACAAAAACAATTCGATTCCTCAAATACTTTCATCTCTTTCATAATCCATATCAGGATTGAATTCACTTCCTACCACCTCCCCTACCACGTCTCCAACGAGATGTATCGAATTACCAGTAACCCTGTACAATGTGCTCAAGATTGTGTCATTCCATTCGAAATTGAATACTTTTCGTATTCTCCAATTATTACCAATTCGTAACAGTTGTGACAAAGAATTGATCACATTTGGAGATACTTGAAGAGAAACACTTGTGAATATATTCCAGATGGAATTCACCTTCAGCATTAAAGCCGTCTTCTACTTCGAAGGTTTGCATTCAATAGACAGCGTGAAAACAGCCGAATGGCTTTTGCATAATTCGAAAAGCACTTTCAGACACAATTTGTATTCGACGGTCTCGCCATTGTTGTGGTGCGAGGTATTCGATTTTCACCAGGAAGAACAGGAGAGAACTGGTATTTCTTTGAAATACGAGGATAGTTATATTCTCTCTCGCCGTGTTGGCTGAAAGCTGAAGCACAGCTATAGCGGCAGGAAAATATTCCCGTTTCTGGCAGAGATTGATCCTCGGAATGAGAATCATATTCCGCATGAATATTCGGAAATATCGGGCAAAATCATTGTTGAATCACATCAACCTCTGTCATTACTTCTGATCGATATTTGTATTCGATGAAATCAGATTTATTAATGGGATTTTTCTTCTTCAGATGAATTTCGATGGAACACAAGTTGCTGGAAAAACGATCATAAAGAAAATGACTGCAACGAAATTAGGAAACGGAACTCAATGCACATTTCCTAGCATACCGTTTTTGTAGGTCAGTTTATTCCATATTCTAGATTAGATAAACGGAAATCCCTATTGACAGAAAAAATTGTTCTAAAATTCAACTACAAAATAGCCACAATGCTCAAAGTGGATTGAAATGTTAAATGAATACAAAAAGCTCAAAGTCATTTCCACACAATGTTCATAAAATGAACAACAATGGAATGGTAATATTTCATTCTACTTTGAGCATTGTGGCTATTTCGTAGTTGAGATCACGCCAGTCGGGCAACCAGCCACTCCCTTATGGAAATTTCAGTTTTGGAGTGATTCTTTCCTCTGTTCTCAGATGGCGTTGATGTTGTTGATGAAATACGCCTCGGGGGAATATAATGCCGACTTGATTTTTGTTTGGCTTGCACACACACACACACACACACAGTGTACCAGCGAGCTTAGCAGAGTCGACACCTAAAGGATTAGTCCCTGACCCAAACTATTCCCAGGTAGAAGCAGCAGAGTGAACTAGTGCCAAACAGTGAAAAAAGCGAAAGTGACAGTGAAGTTCAGTGAAGTTCAGTGAATGTGATTAGTGAGTGATAAGTGAAGGGGGTAAGTCGATTTGATAATTGTCCAATTTTTCAAATTTTCTATACCTCATCACCCATAAACTCGCTACTCATAATGCCTACTGAAAAACACAAAAACCAAATCCCTCCGCGGATGACAACACGTTCCACATCCTCTACGACTCCACATCCCCAAACTCCCCCCTCGCCAAACCTAAGCAACGATGACTCGATTGAGTCTAATATTTCCTATTCAGACACAACAATGCTACAAAAAATAACCAAAACTCTGGATTTTTCCTCCGCGCTCAAAGCTAACAATAACACCAGCACCCCCAACCCTCCTCCCACTTCCTCCTCCAACAACACCAACACCAACACTCAACAAACATTCAACCTAAGATCCCTCCCAACCAAATACAGATCCCAGAAAGAACTCTACAACCTCATAAATACCCATGAAATCCTAAGAAACCAAATCCTATTTTCAAAAGCCAACCTCAATCAAACGGCACTGCTTGAAACAAACTCAAACATAACACAATCACAACTCGAAACTAAACTCAAAAACGCAACCAGAGAGAACTCAATCCGCGTAATCCTCCTGAACCCCAGAATCCTTCCAAATAAAAAACCGACAACCACTAGGAATCCCACGTTCTCTATGGTGATTAAGGGTGTCCCCAAAGACATCACCATGGAGGACCTGGGAGAATCCTTTAAAGGAATTAGTTTCTCAACAATAAAATTCTGGAGAATCACCTCTCGGGCAACCAACCAACCCACAACCCTAATCAGAGTCATCACTGACGTCTTGGGGACCTTCAGCGGAAATACGCGACGAGGACCCTGGGGGGCGACAATGAGGCAGCAATTGCCACATTGAGCGCCCCCTGGGGTCCTCGGCGCGCTCTGCGGAGGCGCCCCAAGCGCAAATTACCTCTTCCCACAGCACGCCTACTTCAACAATGTGAAAACCTTCCGGAGGACCTGGAGGAAATCCTGGACAACACCCCGCTATGCCTAAGATAGCGGGGTCACAGCCACCATCATCCAAAGAACAGCGTCGCTACACCCCGCCAAACACCTTCACCTTCCCCAACCACCCTAGGCATGGACGCTTGGACGTCGAGACAGCCGGATTCACGGACGCCTGAACCCGGACGTCCTGATAGTCTGGTCATCCAGGGCGTCTAGAACGCCCAGCCACCAGGACGAATAGAAGTCGAGGACGCCCCGACGCCGAGGCTCGGTCCCAGGGAACCCGGTCGCCTCTCCCAGCCGACCGGAATACCGGAAGCCAGGGCCCGCGACGCTTGGACGTTGAGACGTCCAGTCGCCCCAGATCATCACCACCATCCCAAACTCCACCAAGACCACCTTCACCACAAGGGAGCCACACCCCAGGCTCCCTCCCCCCAACCCCTTCCAGGCAGAAGCCCACGAAGCCCACTGGCCCCAAAAAGGCCAGAAAGAATCAAGAATCAAGACCCATAGAAGCACCCAATTATAATGTATACCATAAAATTTAAGCAACTGTACATTGTTGTGATCATGGTTTTCTGCGGTTTCCCATGATCCCCGCCAAATGGGCAACAATTAGATCCAGGGAAATAAGGCCGATGCCTGTCTTCCCGAACCCAACAAAAATAGCTAGATCAAATCTTTTTTCTTTTTTTTTTTATATTAAAACAGAAACTTCACTTTTTATATGCTGAAAAGGACACCAGAGTCCTAAAACAGCATTAGGGAAATTTAGGATGATTTTAGAAATGTAACATAGGATTTCAGAAAATAAAAATCTATTAAAACCTGAAAACCTGTTTGGCTTGGCTTCGCTGAGTCGGCGGTCTTAGGACTGCTGGCTGGAGACTTCATTGCACTGATGAGAGTCAAAGAGCTCGAAACCTGTATGTGGTTGTCTGGCGTGGCCTAGCTGAATCGAAATCAAAAGGTATTCAGAGACGAATCACTTGCATCAGTGTTCGTTAATGCGAGTCGATGCATAGATTTCAGGAGGATGTTATTCAATGTTCTGCGTGGCATTAGCCAGGAAAGTAGTTGTTTTGCTCTCGCAATCTTCCATTGTTGTTTATTTCATGAACATTGTGTGGAAATGACTTTGAGCTTTTTGTATTCATTTGTTCTGAAATTGTTCTATCCGTCATCCGGTTGCCCCCTTACGAGCAACCCTCAGAGGTCTTCGAGAGTCTTGTGAGAGCAAGGAATGACGGGGGCCTTACCTTTCAACGTGTGATCCCAAACACTTCCTTGGGCCATCAGAAGAATTTCTGCAGTCGATGGGAATCGAAGCAATGACCAGCAAACGAATGCGGATCAGAATATTGACACTCTGTCACGGCTATCTGGTCACTCAATCTATCATCATAAATCTCGGTCATCACAAACTTTTTGATGAATCGTTGAATGACAGTTGGAAAGTGAGGATGAGGTTACCGGTTGAGACCCTTAATGTCAAACTCTGATTATAAAAAACGTGAAATTAACAAGATATACAGACGTTTGATTTCTAACGATCTATTACTTTGTGTTCAACTACAAGCATTATAGAACGTTGTAACAAATCGTTGATACTTTTTATTCCATCTTACTGAAACAAAACATTCTCAACGTACCGTAAAATAATTGCTATCGAAAATAATAGATTAAAATAACAAATTCTTGTTTATTTCGATGTTTGACATCCACATATTGAACGTTTGATGTAGTTGATACGTCGTTGAATTGTGTACTGATACTGTTGAAAATACTTGAGAAACTACTCATGAACAAACGTCTCTATTCGGATTATCAGACGTTTATCCCAGGATTACATGAAGATCAGGAAATACTGATTCGATCACTGGTTATTCAACGAGGTAATGATCTTGATTAATTTCGCACAATGTCATGCCTGACAATATGCTTTTTCTGAACTTCGAATATTTTCGGATTCATCAGAAAAAAAAAGAATGTTACGAATTGAATGATACTTCACCATAGACGTTTTTGGATTCGGAATCTGACGTTACGTATTCCAGAAACCATTATCATCTTCTTTTTTCTTGATAAGGACTTGCTAATTGTATATTTGTTACTTTCGGATACCCCGAAGCTATAAGCTATAACAAATCTTGAAATTAGAAATTTGGAACTTGTGATATCTCATAGCCTTTTGGTGATACAACGTTGAGAGAAAATCTTGAAAAAAATCATGCCACTATATATAACTAGAAATTCCAATTCACAAAAACATTGCATATGTTTGATCGACTTGATTCTCCAGTTCTTCTGCAAACAACTGTAAAACTTGATAACCAGATGTTTTATTGGAAATAACAGAAATAACTCCACTTTTTCAGAAGCTTGTGAATGATAAAAATTCCTAAGGCAGATTCCTCATTTTCCCTCCACCGTTTCTTCAAATTCTCATCATCAAACATTTTGACATTTCCCCATGAAATAGCTTTATCCCTTGTAGATATAACCCTCATTTGCTTACTTGTATTTTACATGAATAAAACACTACTTCATCGATTCGTCAAAGTCCTCACGGTGAACAAACGGTCATTCGATATATTCAATGTACTCTTGGAATGAACGTTGATCAAATTCATTTTCCGAGAATATTTGATATCCGTTGGATGGGAACAAGACGTGAAATAAATGTATTTCAACCAACGTTAGTTAATCGTTATTAGACAACGTTGAATCATTCCGTACACATCTCACTGACGCTCACATCGAGAGTGCATAAAAACACCTTGGACACAAGTGACCATGGGTGGGTGTGACCATAGGTGGAAATGACCTTGGGAAAAGTGGCCTCATATGTCTTGTTTGACATAGTGACCTTGGAGAGAGGTTATCTTAGGACAGAATAGTGACTTTAGTGGGAGGTTGTAGGAGTAACCTTCGCATATGCGATCTCGTAAGTGAGCAACCTTGAAATGTGAAAATTTCTCGACCTTGGAGGGATGTTAACTCGGTAAGACCGTGAAGGAAGGTTGTACGAGGAATTTCCGAATATGTGACCTTGAGAGGAAATGATCTCGCGTTGAAGAGAGGAAGACCTCTTGAAGGAAATTTGCAACATGTGCTACCTTGAAAATAAGTGCATGGCGGTCGAGGTCGTATTGATAGAAGTAGGGTGATTTGTGTAACGTCATGACTCTTTCTCATCTGAACCTAATAGCTGTCCATGAGGGCACAATTATCTCTCAGAACTATATCGAATATGAGCCTCAGAAGTTTTTTGTGGCTGATATATCACCTGAACAATATTTCATTCTGCAGTGCGTGCGGAGAACCTTCCTTTTTTTTGTTAATCGCTTGGATCACACGGGAGTGATAATCTACGACGTCATCTGAGAGTTGCATGTGTCGAAAATTCAAGTTCATTATTCGCAACAACTCCTTGGAATCTGCAGGCGTGAACCGTTTGCAATAAGATCATCACCTGATGAAATGAACATTGAAGCATCGGACAAACGCTTGCGTCAATCATAGAGATGAAGTATTTGTCGATATAATAAATTTTTTCGAAAAAGGTGACTCAGGCGGTATAAGTCAATGTAGTCTGAGGAGTCATGTTGCGAATAATAATTTCATCCCAAATCTCAAGCCAAATGAACCATCAATATATCAAATCTATTCAGATGCAACTAACTTGTTCGGTCATGATATGTTAAAATATTTGTAAAAATTATGGAGTGAGATGTCATTAGGGTTGAAAATGAAGGCATAAATGAGTATGACCTTGAAGTTGATGTGTACTAACCTGAAGAATCACATGATGCACACTCAGATCTCCCCTTCTTCGTGGAATCCATTGCACCGCCATTATCGGAATCTGAGCTGATGAACTGATACCTAATTTATCGAATGGAATAGAAAATATTGTGCACCACAAAAATTTCGAAGAGGCCATAAGAAACGGTTTGATCCTTGTTAAAACCAATAGTGTACTCAAATTCAAGCAATCCTTGTGGTTTGAAGAGTATGTAATGCGTAATAAGAGTAAAAATAAAGCTGTTGAAAATATATATAGGAATGTGGTCAACTCAGTTTATGACAAAATCATAGACAATGTTGATAAAAAAAACGATATCAAATCCGTAACTTATTGGGGAAGTATCGCAAAAAATAAGGGTGATAATGCATTAATAGCACCACCTCATTTCAAGACCTGTGGAGTATTTCATGAAAATTTTGTAGCAATTCATATGGAGAAAGTTGGGGTGTATTTTAAAAAACCGTTATATTTAGGTTTCAGCATATTAGATATGTCAAAAATATTTATATATAACTTTTTGTATAAATGCATCGAGGAGAATTCCGCTGGTAGATATTGGCTATTGTATACGGATTCAGATTCTTTGATACTGGAAATATAAACTGAGAACTCTCACAATCTCATGAAGGAATATATAAGGTTTTTTGACACATCTCATTATCACATAGATAACAAATTCAATATTTCAATAACAAAATCAGTAGTGGAGAACATGAAAGACGAATTTCCAAATGAGAGCAACACCCTATATTTTATTGAATTCTCAGATTCTTTTAGAGAATATAGACATATTCCATGAACAATGTTCTATCATACTCACTGTTTCGCAATAATTTTTCACTCACAGCTAAGCATGTAGTCATACAACATTTCGCAATGAATCTGAAAGCACTCAATACTTCCGAAACAGAGTTGAGATGAGTATAGGACATTGTATAAGAATATATGTTTTCAAGTCATATTTATAGACAGTTTTTGTTGAAAGTAAAGCCATTTTGAAGAGTTTATTCGATGTGTCCGAGCTATTTTTTTCAAACACCTCTGCTTATTCAGTATCGAATTCTTTTCATTTGGCTGATACACACTGTATA